GCTTATAAACCATCTTAAGATTAAAAGTTCGAGACAATTTAGACTTTAAAATGATCATATTGAACAACAAAGCCGTCATGTGGGGCACATGACTTCCCTTAAATACCAATCTTCTTCACTCAGCAGCTTTCTGTTGAACAGAAGCTCAGGTCCATGTTTGGCTTACACTGCCATCTTGTGGGTAAACGCCGTATTACATCGTTGACGGCTCGGGAGAAAAACAGAGACTTAAGACATTTATGAAACAACAAAAATCGTAAGAGTTCACGTAAATTAGTTTACATCCAAGACGACGAGACCGATAAAGAAAACTCTAACGAATGACGCACCAAGAAAGAAAACAGGATCAGAATCGGCCATGTTCATTCAGGAGCCTGAGGTTGTAGAAATAAGGAAGTGAAGTAGCCTTTAGTGAGGTGAGGAAGGTGAAGGAGGTGAGGGAGTGGTTACCTGCTCCCTTCTGCTCCTCTGACACAAATTACTCGGTCGGGACTCCTCAGGAGGACCTGTTCACTTTTATTTGTGGAGCCACAACCAGGTAAGACTTCACACTCACGTCTTCTACACAAGTTTTTACACCTTTCACTCGTTCATCACGTGCACACAGGAAGGTCGAAGTCCAGATTTAATTTTTTTATTTTTTACTCTTAACTGCTCGTAGGTACTTTTAGGAGACTTGTAAAACCTGACACGTCTCTTTGCTTCTTGTGTAGTTTGTATTTGAGGGAATGGTTGATTGTAACGGGACAAGTGGTTTCTGCTGTGCGTGGAGCGTGTCTGTGCAGGTGAGGAGGAGGAGGAGGCAGCAGGTACATTCCACTCCCAGCCTGGAGCCATGTTCCTGACATACCTGGGATCAGACTAACAACTGGGCCAACCATTCTTTTCCCAGATTAAAGTATTATCAGATTTAAGTGGTTTAATAATAATAATAATTTGGTGTAGAGGGTTTGGAGATTTTCCTCCAGACTGTAGCCATCTCAAACATGTCACCTAAACGAGTCCCATTTTGGATTTGGGCCTTTTTGAGGACCTTCCCAGAAGCTTGATGTTTGCCTGCTGCGCCCAAACAGAACTCTGATGTTCTGATGTGATTTTTCACATCGTCACGCTAGAAAACACAACTGTGTCCAAGTCTTTACTCTTAATTTGAGGTGAAGTTGAAGAATCTTGGAGGTAGATCTTCATCATAACTTACACAGCATGAAGGTACCACCACCATGTTTGACCATTGGTGCGGTGTTTTAACAGCCTCACCTTGACACCTTCTAACAAACTTGTGTTCTCGAAGGTGTCACTTTGGGACAGACAGTGGCGTCCCAGTTGTTTCCAGTTCATGACAGGGTTGAGGCTTGCTGCTAGTCTGGATTGCTCCTGAACTATTTTCCTTGATCTGAGGGTGACCGATGGACATGTCTCCCCCCCCCCCCAGTGTCAAACAAATCTTTTTGTAAGCTGGCAAAGGGAAACTACCAGCTGCAGTCAGTCCTGATCACTATGGAGATGTTAAGGCTTGTCAAGTAACTGAAGTTGTATGTTGTAGTTGTATTCCACCCTGGAAAAAGAATCTGTCATTAATGAGACGCTCGGGCCCCGAGTGAGCGTAGACATCTGTCCACAGCTGTACTGGAGAACCCAGACCCAGTATCTGATGCAGCAGAGCTGCTACAGTCAGTGCTGCGTGTCCTGACAGATTTGGGCAGCACAATTTTCACAGAACCACTTAGAGATCGTGTTGAAGGCTGAGCCTGTAGAGCAGGGGTTCTCATTTTGGGTTCAGGGACCCCTTATAGGGACCTAACATTTAAGGGACCCCCTCATAACCCTCATGTTAATTAAATTTTCTTCAGTTTGTCTCTTTAATGCAATGGAAATATTTGTGTAACATAAATACTTGAGACCTGTTCTTTAATAGTGTTTAAACAATTTTTATATACATAAATATATATATAAATTATTTTTATTTTTTTTGGGCGGACCCCCAAGCATCAGGTCATGGACCACTGGGGGGGTCTGAGAACCCTAGTTTGAGAACCAGTACTGTAGAGAACGTTTGACAGATTTGTTTATTTTGTAAATGAGGAGTTTTACAGACTGACCAACAGACTGGGTCTGCACCTGTTACTTTTATTCTTGTGTCCTAAATGGACATATTCCCAGTAAAAAAAAAAAAAAAAAGGCTGAACTTGACCTTAAAACTCATTACTCATTATAATATACTGTAGCTGTAACAAACATACATTTGGTTTTGTGTTCATTTAACAGAGCATTACATTATTAGTCTGTGAAAATCCTATTTAAACTAGAGAAACTGCAGTTCCTGTCAAAACGCAGCGTGAGTGCTTATTGCTGAATGGTTTTTGCTGAAAGCTGCTGAAGCTGGAACTGAGCTGAAAAGGTTTCATCACTAAACAGTTAGTACCAGTTGAATCTGAACAGCTGACATTTGCTGAAAGCAGGAAAATATAAGTGGAAAGAAATGTTTAGAACAAGCTGAATGGAGCAGAAATGACCAGAATAAGCTGAAACTGGCAGAATAGAGGCTGAATAAAATGACACCAAAAAATCTGAATTTAGAAAAACCAAACAAACCTGAAATAAGCAGAAAAAACTGTAAAAAGTAGCTGAAAAGCTAAAAAAAAAAGTTTGAAAGTAGCTAAAAGAGACTGAAAGGAGCATAAAAAAATTTAAAATATTAGAAAGAAATAAAAGGCATAAATTAGCAAAAATAAAAAGGAGATTAAAAAAAGGCTCAAATTAGCAGAAAAAACATACCTAAAAAGTAGCTGAAAAGGTAGAAAAAAGTTGCATTTAGAAGAAATAAGCTGAAATGAGCAGTAAAAGGTTTTAAACAGCTCAAAGGGTTTGCAGGATGTGGAGAGAGCTCCATTTCTGTTCAGTAAGAAAAACGTGGCAGGAAAGCCAAACATGTCAAACAGTTAAAAATGCACCATTATCAAAACCCAGAGCCGAAATGTCCTGCAGGAGCCGAACGTTTTGTTACATACACTGTTGAAAAAGCACAAAAACTGCAGGACAAGTTGCGTGCTGAATAACGTACAGAAGAAAAATGGATCTTAATATTGTCGGTGTTTGATAAGCATTCATAGAATTCCTTATTTGGTCACAGGAACCAAACCTAAACAGAAAAACAGCAAATCCTCACACGTCAAAAGCTTCAGCTGCTGTAGGTTTACTGACTGAACGGTTGAAAACAAAACCATCAGTCTTTGTTTAGCCAGTTCTATGTCATATAGGCTTCGCCCTTTAAGGCTGTCGCTGATGGGTTTATCCCGTTATGCGCAAGCATCATACTGAAAAAATTAGTCCACGCCCACCTGCTGTGTGGGCCCCACCCGATCCGTATAAATTACGTTAAGAGCGGGTAATCTGCTCCCAGTTTTTCTTCAGCAAGCATAATAAATCAAGAATAAACTGACCTTTTTCGTCGAGATGTCCAGCTCCAGCACCATCCGTTTGTGTCCCTCGTGCAAGACCGGCTACTTGCTTAGCTTCGACCGGCACGACACCTGCGAGGGATGCCTGGGTCCCCGCCACGTCGCTCGCGCTTCCTCCTGCCGCCTCTGTGACGAGCTTCCACCGGAGGAAAGGCAGAGGAGAGCAGCCTTGTTTAAGGCTACCATCGAGGACTGCCTGTCCGTGGCGGGAGACTGTTCGCTGGACGACGCCATGGATTTCTTCGACGCCGGCTCTCGGAGTGAATCGGATGATTCCTCTGGGACCGGTGACGCTAGCAGCAGCCCCGACGCTCGTTCCCTCCCGGGGAGCGGAGTGTTGGAAAGAGGGAGGCCGAGCGGATGCTCGACTCCCCCGGGGTTTCCCGCCTCAGCGACCACATCGCTCCCTGCCGTGGGCGCGCTCCTCTCGGAGCTGCCCGCCATTATCCGGGAGGCTGCTAGCGTTAAGGGGCTCTCCGTCCCCTCACCCCCCCCGCTCAGATCGGATGATCTTGCGGGAAGGTTTGGCTCCACGCCGGCTCGCCGTCCTGATCCCATTTGGCCTCGTTTTCCTGCGGTGACAGCGTACTGGAACGAGGCCGCAGCCGGTCCTGGTAGGTTAAGGGCGCCCGTCTCCACTTACGCCCCCATCACCAGAGTGGAGGGGTTCACCGAGCGGGGTTTTCCCTCGGTACCCCCCCTTGAGCCAAGCCTCGCGGAAGCCTTCGGAGCGAAGATGTCCAGGCTGGAGAAGCGTCCCGTCCCTCCGGGGAAACACGACCAGGTGGCGACCGCGCTCTCCAACAGAGCCCACCAGTGTGCTTTTCAGGCGGCCGCGGCTAACAACAACGTGGCGCTGTTAGCATTTAGCATGTCGAAGAGGCTAGAGGCCTCAGGCCTGCCGGAGGAGACGAAGAGCTCCCTGTGTAAATCGGCAGACGCCGTCCTCAACATGTGCGCCGCTTCCACGGTTTGCCTGTCGAGGATTGCTTCATGGATGACGGTAATCCAACGCTCCATCTGGCTCCGTCACTCCCCATTGCTGCCGGAAAAGCTGCACAAGGACCTCATGGAGGGCCCCATCTCATCGGACGCGCTGTTCGGAAGCAGCTTGAAGACCATGCTGGCGAATTCCAAGCAGTCGGAGGAGATGTCGGAAGCGGTACGTCATCTCATCAAGCCGCGCGGCCCATCCCGTCCCCCAGCTCGCTGGAAGGATCGTCGAGAGCAGAGGCAGAAGCACCGACGCTCCACGGCAGCAGCAGCTTCGTCTCGCCCAGCTCCACCACCAGCCCCGCCCGCCAGAGACCACCCCTCCTCAGCCCGGCAGCCTGCACTCCAGCGCTTCCCCAGAGATCGCCTGCAGACGGCGCTCGGGTCAAACAAACCGCAGAGCTCACGAGGGAGAAGGTTTAAGAAATGACGGTCTGCGGGGGATGTGTGTATGAACGAAACAGGAAGTGAAATAAATGATTTTTCAAAAATCAGAATGCCTGTTTTTAGCCAGTCTGTAAGTTCGGATGAGCTCACAGCCGCTACACACACATCCTCCACACAGAGAGAGCCGGTGGCCTTAAATAAAAGTTTTTTAAACCCACCGCCGCTCCTTCACATGCCCAGACGCTCACGTGACACCACGGTAAGCGAAATATCTTGTTGTCAAACAGAACCGCACGATCACCACTCAAACGGTGTTAAACGCGCACCCGAGCAAAAAAAGCAGCGTCCATCCAAACGGCACTGTGCCGATGATGCACACACAGCTGCCCGGCGCTCACCGGCTCACATCGGGATAAATGTGGGACCGCAGGCCGGGTCCGGTGGAGGTCCCCGCTCTCAGCAAAAACAACACACGTTTTCCCTGAATAAACGCGAACAGCCGTCATCCATCGCGCCTCTGCGACCAGCAGCTCACGGCGACATAAGCGTGAGACAGCTGACTGAATCCAATGACGGGCCCCGCCCTCAGCGAGAGCGGCGCGCGTCCCTCCAGAGAAAACGTGCGCTCCCGCGAAGTTCACAACCTTCACTTCGACAGCACGGCGTTGACGACGTCACACCCTCCACCTCTCAACGTTCG